TGAACTACATAGTGAGACCCTATCCAAAAAAAAAACCAAAAAACAATCAGTAGTTATTACAGGAGAAACCAGAACTTGGGCAGCCTTTCTTACCCTTTGTACAGTTTGGTACAGTCTTTACTTTGAATCACATAGCAGGGGAAGTGGTAATACTGAGAACGGGGTGGGAACAGAGGCAAGGTGAAGACCACATTGTTGTTCGTACTGGCCTCAGCAGTGGAGGAGGTACCATTTACATCCTTCTTTGGAGAGCTGGAAAGTAAGGCTCAGAGGGGTCCAGAGACAGATCCACACTTGCATAATGGGATGAGGCTGGCTGGGAACCCAGACAGCGTGCTATCAGAGCTTCTCTCCAGGACAGGGGTTGTGTCTGTGATTCTGGATGCGAGTTTCCTCAGCATGGGCCTAGTGGTCCCAATTAAGGGGCTTTATGTTTTTATGCAATTAGTAAGGGACCCTGGTGACAAGCCCCAGGCCAGAGTAAAAGATGGCTTTTGCTCAAAGGCCGGGCCTTGGAGGCCATATGTTTGTAATCAGTGTGTGTATGGTCAGGCTCAGACAGGGAGGTCTGTCCTGGCCAGTAGCCAAGCAGATGTTCGCTGTGTGATCCCTCGCAGTACAAACCTCAGTAACTCCTCGGTGTGCTGGGAGTTTGTGCCACAGTTAAAGCCAGCTTATTCCTGTAACTCAGAAGGTTTTAAAAGGGTAGGTCTGATCCAAGGCAGAGCTGGGGGGCCAGGAGGTTGGCCTCCCATCCCTTTACCACTCCCAGTTGGGGCCCTTTCCTTGCACATGACTGTCTTCCTTCTCCACATCCAGGGCTCCCTGTCCTCCTGCAGCCTTCCCCACCCCCAGGGCTTCCGCTGTGGCCTGCCTGCCATCATCTGTACTTCCTCCTTCCTGCTGTGAAGGGTGAACCCTTTGCTTCTCTTTTCCAGGTAAACGAAGCCCCACTCATCTATCACAGCTCCTCTTATCTTAGCTCCACTGTGAAACTTCTCCAACCTGCCTGAAAAAGGAAGGCCAAGGAGGCAGGTAGCCCTCAGGGAACATCTGTTCTGTGCTAGCTGTGGAGCTGGGGTCCTACATAATCACCTCATTAAATCTTCACAAGTCAAGCACTGTACGAGAAATCTCAGGTACTTGGAAAGCTGAGGCAGGAGGCTCATCTGAGCCCAGGAGTGTGTGTGTGTGTGTGTGTGTTTACTAGAATTTGAAGCCAGCCCCGTTCCCCTTTTTGAGATAGGGTCTTGCTATGTTTCCCGGTCTGGCCTTGTATTTGTGTTCCCCCTGCTTTAGTAGCTGGCACTATGGTTGTGTGGCGTCAAGTCTGGCGAGCCCAGGAGTTCAAGGCCAGCCTGGGCTGCACAGCAAGACCCTCTCAAAAAAGAAGAAAGGTAGGTCCAGAGGTGGTGGGAAGGGCCGGGGAGATAATTCGGCGGCACAGCACCTACCTGCCTGGCAAGTGTAAGGTCCTGAGTTCCATTCCCGGTACACACAAAACAAGAGGTGATAGGAAGCACTTGGCCCAAGGTCACTGTCTTAGTTACTTTCTCATTGCTAGGACAAAATACCCAGCACCCACAAGTTACAGGAGAGGTTTATTTAGCACATAGTCTGTGTAGGTTTCAGTCCATAGTCAGCTGGCTCCAGGCAGGGTGGCCTGAAAGAGGGGCATCGCAGAGGAAGCTTACTCCTAGCATAACAGGCAGGAAGCAGAATGGGATGGAGGAAGGGTATTTATACTCCCATCCGGGCCACGCCTATGGTGTCCCCCCACCTCCCACCAAGCTTCACCTCCCAGCGTCATACCCAGCTACAAACCCGTCAGTGGACCGATCCAGTATCATACACCCATGATCCAGTCACCTTCCAAACCCCCCACCTATGAGCACGTGAGGGTTTGGGGCGCTGTCTAGATATAAACTGTGACAGTGACACAGCTAAGAAGCACAAGAACAACCTGGATGTGGTGGTGCACGCCTGTAATCCCAGCACTCAGGAGGCTGGGGCAGGAGGATCATTGTGAGTTCAAGACCAGCCTGGGCTACAAAGTGAGCTCAAGGCCAGCCTGAACTGCATAGCAAGACCCTGTCTCAAAAAGACAA